AGCAAATGCTGGCTGGGAAAAAATATTTTAATTTTTTATCTAGCTGGCTATGTGGAGCGGTTATTTTTTTCCCAGCGATGTTAATAATTAACTATAATCCGCGTGGGAACTCGTGTCATGTGACATAGACATCATTTTAGGTGATTATATGAAAAGTTGTCGTTGGGTACTCTTGAGAGTAGACTGGTTAGGAGACCCAGGGAGCTAACTTTGATAGTGGCAGCTGACCATTTTCGCAGCTATTGGAAGTCCACGTAAGCGATCTATGATCGTCTAGTTAGGTCTATTAAAAGGTTATTATCATAAATAACACTGTTTCCGTGGCAACATTTTAATTCTGTGTTCATCACTTTACAGGTAGTGCATTAAATTAGAAAAGTGCATTTTGTTTGAGTGCGTGGTTAGTAAATGCTGTGGTTATATATAAGAATTTGCGATATTTGTGAAGACTGTGAATACATTGTTTTTCGTCCTATTAATTTGAAGTGTGAATTAATTTCCTCAATTTGATTGGCTGATTGTTGATTAGAGTGTATAAATAGGAGGAAGAAATTCACGCTTTGCTGACATATTCACTGGAAAAAATCGCGCGCGTTAAGGTTGCAATTCGATGTAAGTGTCCAAAATTCTGTAAATTTGATGTAAATGATTTCAATTATATTTACAGAATTTTGGACACTTACATCATATTTACATCAAATTTACAACCTTTTTATTTTTTCCAGTGATTCACGTCTTGCGAGCGTGCTCGCAAGTCTAAACAGTCTGTCAATACGTTGGAATCAACTCAAGTCAACTTAATCAAAATTGCATGTTATTTTCATCCATCTGTGAAACAATTACTACTAGTCAGTGTAACTATAAGGGTGTTGTAGCCTACACTAAATTGAAAAATCAAAACCTTTTTTGCCTAATTAGTTTGTCGCATGTCATAACTTAAACCATTGGATGGGAGCTAATAGGACTAATAGGGTAATAGTATCTTAATTGAACAATTGCTATTTCAGAGACGGATGAAAATGACTAATCCCACTTTAGTATGAAATCAAATAACAATGCATTTCGGCTTTGGAATACGCTGTGCACTATCACTAAGTCCTAAACGGTTTTTTTTTAATCGTTGCCAAGATACTTTGGACCAAGAATAAATTGACCTTAGGCTAAATGTTTCTCTTTTACTCTTTCCTTCTATAATTATCATTTGCTTTTGCTTTGCATGATTTTTGCGTATTTTCACATTCATACTGAAAGCACTGCATTTTGAAGCGGAGTTAGAGTGAAGGGGATAACTTTGTTAGATTGTGTTTCTTAAATAAAATAAAGAAATTCAATTGAATGGTTCAAATATTTTGGCAACGATAGCATTTTATAAGGCTTGTTATATAACGTGTTTAATTCGATACACATCCGTAAAGCTCAATTCGCAAGGCAATCGTGGTTTGCCAAGATAAAGAATGAACACGAACATATCTAGCGACAATGGGTGGGCTTATCGCATTCTTGACAACGCTGTTTGCGTCTGTGTTGCCAGTGAACGTAGTACCGTGGTCTTGAAATGACGATGCGACGTTATTACTATATTTTAACTTGTATTCCCTTGTATACCTGGCACCATAATGACCAAGTGGGAAACCTTGCGTAGCAATAGACGTGAGCTTAGTTATTTTAAGTAGGTCAACTTGAAGGTATTCATTTGGAGATGGTGTTGCTGTCAGCCATGCGGCGTCACTGTTTAGTCGGCCTTTATATGGTCTACATGGTACCGGACCACACATGTACCAATAAGAAGAGGCGGTAATGTCACCGTCTTTTATTCGTCCATCTTCCATTCCAAGAGACTCATTACAGTAGTTGATCTCTGAAGAAAAATCACAAGCAAGATGATGTCGCACGATTTTTTTTATTGAAATTTCACATCTCGCTTATTCTTTTTTTGTCGTCAGTGCATTTCGCGCTTATAAATGGATTATGGGAAAACACAGGGAAACGTGCACAATTTTCGCTCTTGTAGTTAGAATCCAGAGTCATGGCATCCCGAATCCCATCAATATAAAGGGAATCCGATAGAACAAGAGTAGTCCGCATTTTTTTAGAATTGTTAACGTGTCACTAACGCCAAAAATGCCAGGATGCTTTGCATCCTGAATCCCGAATATGATGGAACCTAGAATCACTGCCAAAAAACTTTCCATGGAATCCGAAATTCCGGAATATTGTTCCTGGATATTTACTGATTACCTGTATTACGTAAATGGATGGCATAGTGAAAATGGTGTAAGAACATGTTTTTTTCGACATCAATTAGTAAGACATCCTCAATTTCTTAACTCGTTTTCACGTGCACATCGCTATCTACTTTTCGCATCCATAGAACTGTCAGGACTATCAATAATCCAGCATTCTTATATTTGGCTTTAGTCTATTTCCTGTGAGAACATGATCGTATCGAAAAAAAATGAAAAAGGTTATTCTTGAAATTTATCCTGATGAGGTACTATTAATCAATAAATTGTCATATCAAATCTATTGTTATACATCGGGTGACATTTGCTAGGATTATAGATCTTTTTATATGTTTTAAATGAAGAGGCTGGAAAGAGCACAAATACGGCATTTTTTAAAGAATATATAAGTTTATCGGTCAATAGAAAAGCAAAAAGCTTTAAGAAAATATCTCGGATTTTGCTCGTCTCCGAAACCCTGGGACTCTTCAACAATAGCTTTTACTTCAATAGCCTTCATAAGAATAATCAAAACCACAGCATACAATACTCTTAAAGCCATTTTTACATAAGAATATTCAGAACGATAAATGTATCACATATCAAAATGCGCGAAATAACGTAACCTATTTAAATTTGACGGTAGGTTTTTCATTAACTAAATAAGTTATGCACGAGGCTCTGAAGCGAGGCGTGGTAAAACATGGATCACCTGGCTATTTTGATGCTCAACTAAAACTCTTTTAAATACATACTTGAAATTTCAATTTTTCTCACGAAAAATACAGAGAAAGGTCACATATATATTTATTTCTTAAATCCGATTTTAGTTTTTTCAGGATTGTCTTTAATATCATTGCATTTCTTCAAAAAGTCTTGAAATCTGGTCTCTTTTCGTCGAATTTGACACTTCATACGGACTGTTAGGTTACGCTTGAGTGATCATGGAACTTTTGTCACCCTTAAGTTTGATATGAGTCTCCTCGCAGCCGTGTTTAGTTTCGGTCACGCGTCACGCAACCTTTCCACACACGGCTGCTTCGACCAACGGCAGATTCCATTTCAATACATTAGCCAATCAGAGCTCGACTCGATCGAGAAATCAAGGAGTCATTCGCGCTCAAAATGGCATCCTTCGAAGAAGCACTCAGTATTGTCGCCGAAAAATTCCAAAATAGATAAGCTAAATCACTATCGAAAGGTTGCTGTTGACCAATTTGTGCAAGGAAAAGATGTCTTAGTGAACTTACTGAGAAGTCGAGCGATTTAGCAGCCTTGATCGCATGTCTATTCTTCAGGTTTATTTAACCTATTCAATCTACACTTGCGAGTGAAGCGAGTGAAGTTTGTGACAATTTTGAAATATCTCAAGTCATGTATAGTGGTATCTATCCCAAATTTCACGTATAAAACATGCTATTATCTTTTTATAATACGGATGAATAAAATTGTGCAATTTGAAATACCATTATTAAGGATAAATACCACTCTAAGCCAATCAAATTGCACAATTTTATTCAACCATATTATAGTAGTATTGGCACTACGGTCCCCACTACAACCCACTATCGTTAGCGTGAAAACAATAGATTGGTTTGTGACGTAGGGCGGGGTGTTGGAAGATTCTCAACTTGCTCAACAGTCCATTTCACTATCGCTGCTACTTTCCCTGCTACTTTGATCATCGTCGGAAGAAACGTTGAACAACTGAACCGGGCGTTGTTCCTCGTGGCTTGGTAAAGCATGATTGATCACCAAGCCTATGTGCATCAACTGTTCCAATGATACACTTTGGGGTGATATTAATCACGACCATTTGGATTTGTTCAATATGCTTCATTTATTRGSYTTAATCAAAAAATAATTTTTCACAATTTATTGGCTATTTCGTTTCAAACTTTCGTGGACCAGTTTTTTACAACAGGTTTGATTACTTTCCCAAAGTTTAAGCTAAAACTATGAAGGCAGTCGAGAGATATGGGGTTGGTTGTCTTGAAACCTAGCCGTTAGGGCCTTTTTTACAAAACGCACCAAAGTGAAAATATGGGGGTGGTCATCTTCAAACCCGTCAAAACCCTATCCCAAAGCCCCCATGTAGACCTAGCACAAGGCTAACCCTAAGCCAAATCTTAACCCTAAGCCTAAGAAAACAGTCCTAACCCTAAGTATGTGTTAGCCCTAACCGCAATTTTAACAAATAGTGCGAAAAATCACAGGTCACGTGACCCTCATTTTTGGGATTAAATTATTTAATACCCAGTAATTCTATTTTTTGTAAATCTGACATGATTTTAGACTTCCAAAAGGCCTGTGTTAATTTCGACGAGCTGACAATGTGAAAAGCGGCCACTAAATAAACTCTGCTTTAAATATTAAAAATTATTAAAAATACATTGCAAGCTTTGAGAAGAAAGAGATCCATACAACCTAACGAAGCTAAACATCTCCCCAACCTCCAACCCCATCGCTGTTCTAATCACTATTCCATTATAAGTTGTTGATTATCACGATCACAGTAAATTTGCAAGGAAATAAACAGAGCAAATTTGGATAACGTAAATTAAGAACTCTAGTTTCATACTTGTTATGTTTAATAATTTCAAAGCATTGGTGCTAATCAAACTCTAAAACTCATTATGAAATATAAAACGCGCGCTCTGCCTCTGGTTGGCTGACGACCGTGCTTATATCAGGACAAAGACACGTCTTACCGGCAAAATTTGTTTTTCGCTCGAGAAACGCAGAACAATTCTATAAAAGAAATATAAAACGGCAAGAGGTTTGCTTCTCTCATGTTTTTCAACTCCCACCGTGTTTATATCAGAGGACAGAGACACGCGCGCAAAGTTGAGAGAAGGAACGGGCATGTTTACTGGAATCTTGTGACAACACAACAACTATAATGACCTGAACAATGCGTGCTTAATTCGTTCAGATACTTAACCGACTAATAGCTATAATAAATCATGACTGTTATGTGTAAATATTTACCGTTGCGGGAAAGCGACGGAGAACATGATCTAGGTCGAGAAATGTTTCAGTCGTGGTGATAAACTTTAAAAAGTCTAAGCATTTATAAATATTAAAAACAAAAATACTCACCGGTGCTTCTTTCGTCTCTTGCCCATCGTTGGGCGCACAAAAGAATCAAAGCAATTATAACAGTAATAATGGTAATAAGCAATACAAGGTACCACAAGAATTCCAGGCAATGCGTGCTCAAATATCAAATGACAACTAACAACAAACATATCTCCGAGGCGTAATGTGATTGGACTAGCCGGTCTAG